TCTCTCTCCCCCATGCAGGTTTCTTTAGCAGTGGGATTAAGAAGCACTGGTATAGGGATAAACTTTCCCTAAGTTTTAGAATCTATCCCTAACTAGGTAAAAGATCTAGAGCAAGTTATTTAACATTCCTAAGGCTCACTCATCACACTCCTAAAATGGGAAAGATAATAGTTCCTACTTCATATAACTGTTATCCTAAAAGATAACACAGAGAAGCACTCAGCACTACCCCTCACAGGAGAGTTTATTAGTCATGGCAAATAAAGAGAGTTTGGTTAATATAAAGAAGCAAGGGGCATACTGTTTGCAAAGATGGCCTAGACCATGCCCCACCCCCGAACTTCACCCCACCCAATCCCTATAGGCAAGACCTGTGAGATACACATGACAACATCTGCCAGCAAAAGATGGTGTCTATTTACAACCCCTTGAATCTGGACTGGTCCAGTGGCTTGCCCTGGCCCACAGAGTGTGACAGAGTGACACTGTGTGACTTCTAAGCCCAAGCCTCAAGACATCTTGCTGCTCTCACTTTCATGGAATAAGGTGCCTCCATGTGAAAAAGTCTGCTGGTCTAGCTGCTGTGATTAAATAGGGCTCAGATGAGCTGTCCCAGCTAAAAGTCCCTAGACCAACTGGCTCCAACTGGAGCTTTCAAGTGACAACAGCCATATTAGTGACCTCAGGCCAGGCAAGACCAGCTAAAGAACTGCCCTGCCTCAATTGTGAACAAATGGTCACTGCTTTAAGCCACAAAGTTTTGGAGTGGGTTGTTGCTTCTCAACAATAGATAACGGACAGACATATGCTTCATGAATTGCAATATTTCTTCATTTTTTCATTTCATGCATTTCCTAAAATATTCTATGAACAATCCCAAAGCTCCAATGTCGCCAAATAATTATGTCATTGCCAGATGTGCATATACTTCTCATTCTTCATGACCAGGTCAATGTTTCCAACCATTACAACACAGAGCTCTGTCTCGGTCAGAACTGGGGAGTTTCAGGCAGGGAGTAGAAATACACTAAAGCCAAAACAACTTATGTGAAAATAAAGTGAATTTTTTCTAAAATTATCATAGTTACACCACAAGAATGCAGGTGCAAACACAGCTGAGCTGAAATTGAAGGTAACTGGCTAAGAGAAGAAAAATGAAACAAAATTGCTATGATTCATTCAAAAACTAGGAATCAAACAGATTCTCTCCCTTTAACAGTTTTTGTGTTTCACATTTTCTTCCATATACTTTAAAGATGACCCAAAGCCTCTTTTATAAATTTACCACACAACTGTCAAGAGGAAATGCCTGCCTAGGTTACCATCCAGTCAACAAATATTTGTGGAGCACCACCTCTATGCCAGTGAGTTGTTAGCCTCTGAAAACTTTTTTTAAAATAGTGTACATAGAGATACCAAGGGGTAAAGGGAGCATGACTGAGTGAAACTAGACCACACACCTCTCTTGGTCAAGGTACCTGGACTGGTTAGAGGGTTCAGGTTGGTGAATGTGGCAAACAAGGCTCCACCCTTATGCAGACCTATGACTAGAAGAGGGAAAATATTAGCAGCTAATATTATAATGATCATCACGGATATTATCACTATCATTATTGTTATTATTATATACCCTTACCCCTCTCATTTCTCCCTCCTTCGTTACTGTTTAGTATCTGTTACTGCTAAGCACTTGCACCCATTTAATCTTTACAAAAACTTAGCGAGGTGTTACACACATTTTATAGATGAGGAAACGAGGCCCTTACTGGATAAAGTTACACATACAGTAAGTGGTGGAGCTTGTGTTTTTAAACACTACCCTATAGTGCCTCCATACATATGAATTTATTATGATTTTACAGAATTTTCACGGGGCGGGGGAGGGAAATCCTTCACGGTAAGAAATGAGATACAACATACCATCTTTATCAATGTAAATGTCTGCATATGTGTGTTTTCACTGAGTTTCTTTTGAAAACTGTTACTTAGTCCTGTATGGAATATTTTCTTGCCTGTTGGAAGAGTCTGGAAAATATCTGATTATTAGTAATATAGAAATTTTTAAAGATATGAGAAAGCACATTTCACTCATTCAATATAACACATCAGTGAAGAGAATTAGTCATCTCAAGGAATGAGGGCTCAATTAGCCACAGATAGGGGATGTTTTCAATCACTATGTTTACTCTTAATAGCTTTATTATTTTTCCTGATTATAAAAGCAGCACATGCTAAATGAAAAAAAAAAATTTTGAGAAAAACATTTTTAAAAAAGATCGCCCACAATCTTATTACCTAGAAATAACAAATTCCTATTACTTGGTGTAGTATATCTTCCCAGATACCTTTTTTAGGTTTCTGTATACAGGGCTTTTGTCTGCCTTAAAAATCATACATTATACATATTTACATGCTATCCTGTTTTTTATAAATATCATTCTATATCAATAAATATCGACCTGCATCATCCTTTATAAAGACTGTACAGTATTTCACTGTGTGGATAGGCCCTAATTAACTTAATCTTTTATTAACAGACATTTAAGTTACTTTCTGTTTTTCTATTATAAAAAAATGGGGCAGTGAGCAGTTTGGTACACATATCTATGCACACTTGACCAAGTGTTTCTTTAAGATAAATTCCTAGATGTTGGCTTGCCATTTTATGACTCTGGATTTGTATTCCCCAAAGTGTCATCCAGAAAATATGTACCAAATTTACTTTTTTTAAAAAAGGAAACCTTTAAATGTTAAGAGTAATAACATATTTTACATTTCTAATAGCTAGATAAAATGGCAAAAAAGTTAAAAACTGTACTTTATCCCAAAATATCTAAAATATTGATTCGTTCTTCTAATATTACATCAGTTTTACATTTGGAGGGGGAAATTCTAAAATACCCAATAACTTCTAATGGTTTTATTTTCACCATAATGTGTTGTTTTGAAAAGTTAAAATACAAAAAGTACTTTCTGCAAAACAAGCAAATTAATAGAGAATGTTAAAAAGGTAGGAAGGGAGGCAAAAAATATACCAACCAGTTATAGCAATTTCCAGGTCACCAAATCTGCATCCCATACAATGGCCAAGAGAAAAGGGTCAAGAGAGAGAAAAGGTGAAATTAAAAGCAGCAGCCCTCAGAGTTTTAGTGATAGCTGGATGAAATTACACTTAGACATATACATCTACATGCTCTGTACACACTAATCCTGGAGCTAATCTCCAGGGGTTAGTGCACAAGAGGAATCTTTGTGTGTTTTATTTAAGCAAACAACACACAGAAAGGGGGTGGAGTAGGCCGGATACCGATTTCCTTAAGGTAAGAGTGTCTAGTTAGCAACCTGAGGGCCTAGTATCAATTACTTGCCCTCCAGAGCAAGGGGAGAATAAAAAGAACTTGAAGCATAAGACAGCACCAAAGGCACTGATTCTCCACAAGCCATAACACAAGACAGGGTTTGATCATCAAGCTCTACAGAAAACTGGACAAGTTGAGAACATTTTTATCAATAAACAAAATTTACTACTGATATAGCAAAATGCAAAGAAGGGAAGGCCACATGCTGTAACTAATAACAACTAACCTACTGGGGGAGGTGAGGCATTAGATTATACATGAAACACTTAAGGTGGCAAATGGCAGTGTGTGTGGTGGAAGGCGGGGAAGGTGTTAGTTGGTGATGCCACAAACCTATAGGCCTTATGGGTTTAACATTCTTTCGTGCAAAAGGTCAGCAAACTATGGCCTATGGGTCAAATTCAGCTGCTGCCTGTACATGCCATGAGCCTAGAATGGCTTTTACATTTTTAAATGGTTGAAAAAAAATTAAAACATATTTCTTGACACATTAAAAATTACACAAAATTCAAACATTAGTGTCCATAAAGTTTTACTGGAACACGGCCGTGCCCATTCCCTTATGTTTATAGCTGTTTTTGAGATACGCTGGCAGAGTTAAATGTGACAGTAACCTGGGTGGCTGGGAAAGCTGAGAATATTTACTATCTTGCCCTTTATAGAAAGTTTGTTAACCTCTGTCCTAGGCCTTAAGATCATGTCATTTTGAATGGATCACAGCTCCAAACCTGTGCATTCTTGTTGGTTTGGCTCTTGATATATTCAGAATTTAGATATAACCTGCCAGCCTAATGGATAATGCAATTCAATTGTTAAGACCACTGGACAGGTCTAATAGGTCCTACAGATGAAAAGCTATGAAAGACTTTTCTGAGTTGAAAGTAGGATGGTCCCAGAATGAGTATAAGTAAAAGGTTTCTCTTGGAAAGAATGTATTAGCTATCTCCTTCTAAAGATGAGAATGAAACCATCCTCAAAATGGTTACCACCTTTGAGTCTTCACTAGGAGCCTAGGACTGAGTAAAGCCTTTTGCTTTTATCTCATTTAATGGTCTTCTCTTCCAGGCTCAGAGAGGCTGACTGACTCAAGCTGAACACAACCAGAAAGCTCAAGGATTGAAGTCAAACCCAGGTTGTCTATACCCAAGAGTCTAAGCTTGTGCTCATAACCACTACCTCACCTGAAAGAAGGCGGCATGAATGCTCACCATAAATAGATGAGAGGAAAAGAGAAAGACCACAGAAAAAAAGTGGAAGCAAGATTATTTTTATGGCCATGAACTTTATGAGTAATTTATTCCTATATCTCTTTATTTTTACTCATAATGCCCTCTCTTCTTTCAATGTTTAAAGAAAGGAAAATACAATTCAGTTCTTCCATACTCTTTTCTCTGTTGAGAAAAACTGATGCAGGTACCACTCTACTTGTGGAGACCTTTTAAAGATGTCAAAATTAGACTGCAAAAGTTATAGGTGTAATTTCCACTGATGAAATCCCTGGCGGTACCTGTGAGGGTCCCATAAAGAAAGGAGTGAGCAAACATGTTTAGAGGTGGTAGACTAGAAAGTACATGTGCAGTTTTTCATTTAAATTTTTCATTCAAATTATAAGTGAAGAACAAATGTTAAATGGAATCTTACCCAAAGAGAGAGCTATGATGCTGGTGGGTGGCTACTGTTTCTTTCTACCCAGCATCCATGTCCTCGGCTTTGCCAACTGTACCACCGATTTTCTTCAACTTTCCCTCAAATGTCTACAATAAAAAGACCACTAAAATTTAACTTTTAAAAACCTGATTTCAAAAAAAAGTTTCAATTTGTTAATATTTTCAATATATTTACTTGAAAATATATACATTGGTATCATATACCATGTTCATACATGTTCACTCAGATTTTTATCAGTAGTTACCCACATCTACCTTCTAACTCCTTCCTGTGGGAAAAATAAAGGGCTCAGAGTTCTATACAGGAAACTTCATGCCAGTCTTTCAACATCTCTACTAGGTAAGCTTTATCCACCTGAGGAACCTGAGGGTCAGGCAACTTAAGCAGCTACAGTAAATGAAAGAACCCAGATTTGAACTTCAGCCCCTTTTAACTCAGAAACTGTGTTTTTCCCATCAGCCTTACGTCTACCCAAGGGACAAAGACATTTCTTAGGATGATTACCTCCCAGTCAAATTGTAAATTTTCTAGAGAGTAATAATGACCAGAATGAACCATTTGCTCCAAGGGCCTAATTGTCAGACTCAAGTCTCTGCTTATAGACCATTAATCTATCTGTTCTAAATTTTTAGACATAATTTAAAAATGGCCACAAGGCACTCAGGATAGCATATCAAGCCCTTTATGTGGGTGTATGGTTTATCACCTAACAGGTGACACTTTGCTGTGGGAACAAAATGGAAGTGCTTTTGCACCTCTAAGACCACATGACTAGGCAAAGGAAGACTTTAAAAAGCAAGTATAAACACAACGATCTATTTTTCCTACTTTTTTCACTTAAGAATTATTCTAACTCCCATTTTGCTTAATAAAAACATATATCTCTAACTATCTCTAACAAAACTATAGGGTCTCTCCCCAGAAAAATACACATACACAAAAAGTTCTGGTCACAACTATACAGGTTTAGGAATTTCCTGAAGCCCATTCATGGACCCTTAGAGGTCCACAGACCCCAAGATGACCCTTTCTCTAAAAGGACACTACAGAAATGCCTATATCATTTCACAAGACCAAGGTAAAGACCAGATAGCTAGTTCTCTCATCATCTGTTATAGCTTCAGAAAGCTAAAATTAAATAAACAAACTTCCTTAACTAGACTTCGATAGTCTCAAAGAAACCACGAATCTAATGATTTGAGTAAATCACTAAATATAAGGTCATATAAGTTCAAAGTCCCAATCAGTTTGTTATGGCTTAAAATCTGCTACTTCTTTCTGCCCACAGAGATTTCCCTAAAAAAGAAAGAAACATTAGTATGGCCTGTCAGAGCTGGAGTCCTTCCTACTTTAGCATTCATGAACATGTTTACATATATAATTGATTACATGAAAAAGAGACCACTTCTAAAATTTACTAAAAGATGTTCTTTCACTATATATGATACAAATGAAAGTCCATTAAAATAATTCTTAAATGTTCAACACATAGATCTGTGTCAATGCAACTGTGAGTTAAATTATGTGGCTGACAAAGCAGATTTTTAAAAGTTCATAAAGGCTCAAATTTTGATGTGTTCCCCACTACTTGAGTTAAGAAAAGTTTATTTTCAGCTACATCCCGAACTTTAAAGTCCTTCCAATCTCTCTTGGTCTTACTACTTTAGAACATTTCTAGCACTGTCCAACAAAGTTCTAAGTTAAAAATGAACTTATAAAATCAGGCAGGACTCCAGCTATGAATAACAGATAGACTATCTCATGAAAATTTAACAGTTACAACAAGGGAGTGAAATTTTTCTATAAACATCATTAAAGATTATTTTAAATCACTAGATACTGTTTCAAAATCAGTATCACGATGATAAAACCCAAGTAACAAGTAACTTAAGAACATCATTTCACCACTTGACAATTACCTTTTAACAATAACGATTTCCACCAAAATGCCACTTGGGATACACAGATAATCAACTGATACTTTCAGTTTACGATTTGTAGTAGTACTTAAAAGTAATTCTTATTTTGGTTAGAGTATCTTCTTTCTTTCTAAAACCAAGAAAATGGGTAGGGACTGATGCAGATAGGTAGCCAATGTTTAGGCCAGTATTATTTCAAGCCAGGGGGGTTTCACACCCTGGGGGAGGGAAAATTATACCTCAGAATCTTCACTCAAAGTAATTTTTTTTTTTTGCCTTTGTGTCAAGTCAAAGGTGCTAAATCTTCAGAGCACTGTTGAAGAGCATTACTGAAGTTTTGACCTCATATATATGAATAAAATTTTACATACACTGGTTTCTAGCTAGAGGTTAAATGAAACATACTCACTGTCATACATTTGCATTTACAACTCTTCCTCTTTGAAAGAAATGAAACAGGGAAAATGAACCCAACTTCAGTAAGGAAACTGAAACAATTAGATCCATCCTACATAATTGCTTCCTCTCGAATATGAAAAGGCAGGATATTTGGGGGACAGAAACATTGGAAAATAACTCTATGCTCAATGAAATATCAAACCTAGGTTCAAAACTCAGACACGTTGCTTGTGGCTAACTGAATTTATCCCACTGGAGATCAAATCAGCTGTACTGGTGCTTGCTTCTCACTTTTCACCACCTAAAGGTTGCCATTAGTGAGAAACCGATCCAAGTTGAATCAAAGTGACTTTTGGGAAGAGATGCCAATATAATCTGTAATGTGCTCCGGAAATGTCTAATTCTACACGTAGACGTTTCTCATTTAGCATCCTCCTCCCCCTTCGCTTGCAACTTCCCCTTAAGATAAAGATAGTCACATAGACAATTTTTGAAAATCAGAAAAATAAATAAAACACCCCTCCCCTATCAACGACGGGATTCCGTAGCCCTGTTAGGATATCGGGCACAGCGCACTTCGTCGCTCCGCGAACTCTTTTCAGAGGTCGCCAAGTTTCTCTTTCTCCATTTCCCAGCACTCGCCAGTACCAGTGAGGGAAGGGACGGCCGCCGAGACCAGCACCAAGCGACCTGGAACCTGGGGCCTTTTTTGATTGCCGGCCGCGCCCGGCGCAAGTACCTGAGTTGGAGACCCTCCCGGGCGCGCGTGGGTGCTAACTTCGTGGGGACCCTCGCGCTACGTCCCATGGGTGCCCCTAGTCCCACGTCCTCGGGCTCAGCAGAGTCCAAGCGCCCTCTGCCGCTCTCCCCACCCCCAGGGGGGCGAGCCCACCCTCAGTAGCAGCAGTTGGGACCGGGGAGCGTGAGCCGCGGTCCCCTTCTCCGGGAAGGCGCGGGGGCCCGGGGCCCAGACCCCAGAGGGCCAGCAGCCC